ATTGGCAAATATATTTTCCCATATGGTTGGTTCTCTTTTCATTTTGCTGATGTTTTCTTTAGCCATGCAGAAGCTTCTTATTTTGATGAGGTCCAACTTGTTTATTCTTTCCTTTATGTCCCTTGCTTTAGGGGACATAATCGATGAACATGTTGCTGTATGGGATATCTGAGAGTTTCCTGCCTATATTCTACTCTAGGACTTTTATGGTGTCGCAACTTATATTTAAGTCTTTTATCCATCTTGAGTTTATCTTTCTGTGTGGTGTCAGTTGGTTATCAAATTTCAATTTTTTGCATGTAGCTGTCCAGCTCTCCCAACACCATTTGTTAAAGAGGCTATTTTTACTCCAATTTATGCCTTTGCTCCCTTTGTTGAATATTAGTTGACCATGGAGACAGGGGTTTATTTCTGAGCTCTGTATTATGTTCCACTGATCTATGGGTCTGTTCTTGTGCCAGTACTAGACTGTTTTGTTTACAGTGGCCTTGTAATATAATATTATGTCCAGTATTGTGATCCCTCCTACTTTGTTTTTCTTTCTCAAAATTTCTGAGGCTATTCGGAGTCATTTATTGTTCCATATAAATTTTTGAAATGTCTCTGAAATACGTCATTAGTATTTTAATAGGGGTTGCATTGAATCTATAAATTGCTTTGGGTACTATGGACATTTTGATGATGTTAATTCTTCCTATCCATGAACACAGTATATGTTTCCATTTATTTGTGTCTTCCTTAATTCCTTTCTTCAGTGTTGTATAATTTTCTGCGTACAGCTCTTTTACCTTCCTTGGTTGATTAAATTTATTCCTGGTACTTTTTTTTCTTGTTGCTATAACAAATGGCATTTTTTTTTCTGATTCCTGCTTTTGCTATTTCATTGTTGGTGTACAAAAATGCCTTTGATTTCTGAATATTGACTTTGTATCTTGCTCTTTTCCCAAATTCACTTATTAGGTCAAGTAGTTTTTTGGTGGAGTCTGTAGGGTTTTCTATGTACACTATCATGTCATCTGCAAACAATGAGAGTTTTACTTCTGCCTTTCCAGTTGGGATACCTTTTTATTTCTTTTTCTTGTCTGACCACTGTGGCTAGGAGTTCTAATACTATGTTGAATACAAGTGTTGAAAGCAGACATCCTTGTCTTGTTCCCGATCTTATTGGGAAAGCTTTTAGTGTTGCCCATTGAATACGATGTTGGCTGTAGGTTTTTCAAATATGGCCTTTATTATGTTGAGGTATGCCCCATTTATTCCCATTTTGCTGAGTGTTTTTATCATAAACAGGCACTGTATATTATCAAATGCTTTTTCCACATCTATTCAGATGATCATGTGGTTTTGTCTTTCCTTTTGTTTATGTGATGTATTACATTTATTGATTTGCATATACTGAACCATCCTTGCATCCCTGGGGTGAATCCCACTTGATCATGATGGATGATCTTTTTAATGTATTGCTGGATGCGGTTTGCCAATATTTTGTTGAGGATTTTAGCGTCTATGTTCATCAGCGATATTGGCCTGTAGTTTTCTTTCTTTGTAGGGTCTTTATTTGGTTTTGGGATTAGGATGATCCTGGACTCACAAAAAGAGTTTGGGAGTCTTCCCTTGTCTTGGATTCTTTGGACTAATCTCAGAAGGACAGGGGTTAGCTCTTCCTTAAATGTTCTGTAAAATTCTCCTATGTAACCATCTGGTCCAGGGCTTTTGTGTGCTGGGAGTTTTGTGATTACTGCTTCTACTTCCCCAGCTGTTATTGGTCTGTTCAGGCAGTCTGCTTCTTCATTCAGTGTTGGAAGGTTATACTTTTCTAGAAATTTGTTCATTGCATCGAGGTTTTCAAATTTCTTGGCATATAACTGTTCATAGTAGTTTCTGACAATCCTTTGTATTTTGGTGGTATCAGTTGTTATTTCTCCTCTTTCATTTCTGATGTTATTTATTGGGATCCGATCCTCTCCCTTTTTTTCTTGATGAGTCTGTTTAAAGGCTTTTAGATTTTGTTTATCTTTTCAAAGAACTTGCTCCTGGATTGTTTGATCCTTTGAATTGTTCCTTTAGTCTCTGTGTCATTCAATTCTGTTCTAATCTTGATTATTTCCTTCCTTCTACTTGCTCTGGGATTTATTTGTTGTTGTTTCTCTAGTTCTTGAAGTTGTAGAGTTAGGTCATTTATTTGAAATGTTTCTGTCTCTTTTTAGGGAGGCCTAAAACTTTTTTATTGCTATGAACTTCCCTCTCAGGACTGCCTTTGCTGTGTCCCATGGATTTTGGACTGCTGTGTGTTTATTTTCATTTGTTTCCAGAAGCTTTTTGATTTCTTCTCTTATCTCATTATTGACCCATTCATTGTTTAATAGTGTGCTGTTTCATTTCCGTGAGTTGGAAAGTTTTTCAGGTTTTTCCCTGTGGTTGGTTTCCAGTTTCAAGCCCTTGTGGTCCGAGAAAATGCCTGTTACTATTTCAATTTTTCCGAATTTGTTGAGGCTTGCTTTGTGTACTATCATGTGGTCTATCTGTGAAAATGTTCCAGGTGCATTTGAAAAGAATGTGTATTTTGCTTCTTTGGGATGTAAGGTTCTATATATGTTAGTTAAGTCCATTTGATCTAAGGCATCATTCAGTTCCACAATATCCTTGATTATGTTTTGTTTCGAAGATCTATCCTTTTTTGACAGTCGAGTGTTAAAATCCCCTACTATCAGAGTGTTGCTGTCTTTCTCTTTCTTGAAGTCCTCCAAGATTTTCCTTATATATTTGGGTGCTCCTATGTTGGGTGCATATAAGTTTACAATGTTTATATTTTCTTGATGGATTCTTCCTTTGAGTATTATAAAGTGTTCCTCTGGGTCTCTTTTTATGGCCTTTGTTTTTAAATCTATTTTGTCTGATATAAGTATTGCTTCCCCCACTCTGTTTCCTGTCCATTTCCTTCAAATATTTTTTCCATCCCTTTACTTTCTGTCTGTGTAGGTCCTTTGTTCTGAGGTGGGTCTCTTGTAGGCAGTATGTGTGTGGGTCGTGTTGTCTTGTCCATTCCCCTATCCTGTGTCTTTTGATTGGGGCATTTTGTCCATTTACATTTAAAGTTATTATTGATAAGTACTTACTCATTTTTTCCCTTTGTACCTGTGTTCTTCTCTTTCTCATCTTTTTCTTCATCATCTTAATCCAGTCCCTTTAGCATATCTTGTAGTGCTGGTTCGGTGGAGATGTATTCTTTTAGTCTTCTTTTGTCTGGGAAACTCCTTACTTCACTTTCCATTGTAATTGAGAGCCTTGCTGGGTTGAGCGTCTTGGCTGCAAGTCCTTGCTTTTCAGGACTTGGAATATTTCTTGCCATGCCCTTCTGGCTTGTAGTGTTTCTGTTGCAATGTCAGCTGCTAGCGATATCAGGGCTCCCTTGTATGTTACTACCTGTTTCCCCCTTCCTGCCTTTGGGATTCTGTCTTTGTCTTTGATACTTGCCATATTGATGATGATGTGTCTTGGAGTGGGCCTCACTGGGTTCCTCTTGAATAGGGCCCTCTGTGCTTCCTGGACTTGTGTGTCTTTTTCTCTCCTCCAATTAGGGAAATTTTCCAGCATTATTTTTTCAAAGACGTTCTCTATCCCTTGCTCCTCTCCTTTTCCTTCTGGTATCCCTATTATATGGATATCATTACTTTTCAGGTTGTCCTGCATTTCCCTAAATGCCTCTTCATTCTTTTGGGTCTTTTTTCCATTTCTTGCTCTTTCTGGGAACTTTTTTCTACCTGTCCTCTAGCTCGCTGATTTGATCCTCTGCTTCATCTTGCCTGCTTTGGATTCCTTCTACTGAGTTCTTCAGTTCAGAAATTGTATTCTTCACTTCCGCTTGTCTCTTATTGATAGTTTCTATGTCCTTTTCCATGTTTAGGTATTTTGCAATAAGTTCCTGATAGTTTCCCTGTAGTTTCTCATAGCTCTCTTTGAGCTCACTGAGCTCATTGAGCTTCCTTAGAACCATTTTTTTGAATTGGGTATCTGATTGTTTACTTGCCTCTCTTTCACTTAGTTATCTCTTTGGGGATTCCTCCTTTCCCCTCATTTATGGGGTGTTTCTTTTCCTTCCCATTATTTGTGAGACTCTTCTTTTTCTGCTTCTGCTTCTAAAATGATCTGTCTTGATTCCTGACTTTGTGGTGTGAACTTCTGTGGTAGTAGGCGGGTCTTTTTTTTTTTTCCTTTTCTTTCTGGGTCTGCCTCTGATGATGTGAGTTGTTGACTCTGTCTGACCTTAGGCAGACTGTTTGAGACTTTCAGGAATCTACTGTCTGTGTCTGTCTCCTGCAATTGTTAATCTAGTCACTCTGCCCTCAGCCATCAGGCTTAGGCACCACAGGGCAGGGCATTGCCTCCTGAGGGCAAGGCTATTGTGTCCTTACAGGCTGCTGCCACTCAGGGGAGTGGTTTGCCTGAGCAAGATGGTGACTGCGGAATGGGGAAGGAGTCAGCACTGGGAACCCCCCTGGCTACTACCTCAGTTCTCTCCCCAATGCCTCCGTCTCAGGTCTCTCCTGAAGGGTTTCTAGGCAGCTCTGTGTCCCCTTTCACCAGGCATCTACCATATCTGCTGGCTGCTGTGCACTCGGCACCCAGGCCTGCATGCAACTCCTGGTCGGGGCGAAGTGTCCTGAGGGCACAGCTATTTTTTTCTTTGTCTGACCAAGATGGAAGCTGCGAAGTGGGAGGTGAGTCATCACCTTGGCCCTGCTGACCACCATCTCAGTTCTATCCCCAAAGCTTTCCTCACCAATCTTTCCTCAGGCTCCAGCTCACTCCCTCCTACCTCTTCTTTAAGGGTTAAGACGTGCTTCTGTTGGGTAGAAGCCCACAGGGGATTTAATGGCTTGAGCCTGTGCAGAGGGTAATCAGAAGGCTCAGAGAGTTGGGAAGGGGCTTTCTCTCATCACCCAGAGCTGGATGGTCATGGACTCACAGTAGACACTTATGTGCTTTTGTCCTTTCTCCAGGTGATGGCCAGTATGGCAGCAATGATGACCCTGAAGCAGGTGGGTTTGAGTTCCAAAGTTTCTGTTAGAAACCACAGGAAGACATAGTGCTGGCCCACTCTCATTTTAGAGTTGGCCTTTCTGATCTTGCCCTGAATGTTTCCACTAGGGAACTGTGAGGCTAACAGCAGAGGAACAAAGTCATTTAAAGGAACTAAGCATGAAAATAAAGACCCCCGGTGAGGTGGCCCCATGGGAAGTTCACTGGACTGAAACCCAGAGACCTATCTGAAACTCAGTTAAATAGGGACTGCATCATTTCCATGACCACCTTTTAAGCTTCTAAAAATGAAAACACTTAACAGAAAATGAGAAGTATTTGGCAAATCTGAAGGCACACTGTGTCATTTGATGTCCTTCAATATAAGAGGCTAGGCCTTCAACATTGGCTTGGAGGTCCTGGGCATTGCAACAAAGCTAGCTCAGTGTTTGAACTAATCCTTGTGGTACTATTGGCTTGACCTCATATCTTCTCATTTCTTCCACCCTCTCCTTTGCCCAGGAATGTCACCAGAGACTGGAACCATTGCCGGTGTGGCCAGTGCCCTGGCCATGGCTCTGATTGGTGCCGTCTCCAGTTACATCTCCTATCAGCAGAAAAAGTTCTGCTTCCGCATTGAACGTAAGTGAATCCACCGTGTGGCTGCTTGTGGCTGTGCCTGCAGCAATTTTATTCCTCCCACTCCTGGATGTGAACAAGTGGTTAAGGTCTTTTGAGGGAAAGGGGCAGAAACGTGAGCAAGTTGAGATTCCGGTCTGTCCCACAGCCTGTCTTGAGAGCAACTCCAGAGAAGACTTATTGGAGAGGGGAAGGTAGAGTAGCATTTTTGGAAATGCTTGAGGACAGATCTAGGCCAAACTGATGTGTAAACCAGCCTAGTAGAAAGGATAGGGCTGGACACATTAACCTTGGTCTTTCAAGAGTTCCAGTTTCCAGAAGCCAGGTTTCTCTGGGGGCAGAGCCCAGTGGCCATTGTGATGTTTCCTTGTCGTAGTATAGGAGAGGCCCTGGGATTTCCATATGGCCTCAGATCTCACTTAAAGTAATTTGGGCCTTTCAGAGGCCCTGGGGTCAATACCTCCCTCTTATGCTGTCATTTTCCTCCAGAGCAGAAGGCAGCAGTCTCTGGGGATCACTGAGACACAGCAGGCAGCACTGTCGGGCAAGCTAGCACTCATTCTGGCAACCCTTCCCTTCCTTTCAGACCCCAAGAAGTCACTGCCCTGGTGCCCCAGCTCCTCCCCTGTGAGCTAGAAAATCTTAAAATCTATGGAATCATGACTTGGTTTTGAAGGAGCAGGGATACAAGAGAGACAGTAGATGTGGTTTCACCCCCTCCTTTACATGATATATTTGTAAAAGCTAGGATGCTTCCATTTTATGCCGTGGCTGTCTATAAGGTGTGTTACAAATGAAATCCTCTCTTGGAAGCTGTCAGGTATCCCATGTCCAGAACCCTGTGTGAATGCTGTTGAGGGTGAACAGAAAGAACACAGTTGTTGTTTTTCTAAGCACAGCATTGATGTGTCACTGTTTGCTGAGAGTACATCTCTACTTTAAGACGTAATTTTCAGTTCAAGTGACAGAATCTGAGTCAGCAGTAGTTTTCCTCTTTCCTGAAGCCTAGTTAGAATCATCCCCTGTGAGGTTTCTTCTACCCTTCCTCTGGACCTCTGCCTTTAATTCTAGCTGGGATTTGAGCTTCCCAGAAAAGTAATCCGATTCCCAGAATGCTTTAAATATGACTATTGCTAACGCTTCTGATTATTTTTTCATCTGGCCATCCTATCTTCTTCTTTTAGTCTTATACGACATTCTTGACTAGGGCCACCACATACAGATACACAGGCACAGGCTGTGCACGGTTCACACTTCAGTGCACAACATGCACAACTGTTCATTGTCTCCCTCCTTGAGATACTGTCAAATCACCAAGGATTAAGAGGCTTGGCTGTAGAGTGCTATAAACAAGGAAGTGTCAGAAGGAGTACAAACCTGGCCAAGAAAACAACAAAAAACAAAACCAGAGTGGCTTAAAACAACAGAAATTTATTCTCTCACACTTCTGGAGGCCAGAAGTACAAGATCAAGGTGTCGTCAGGATTGGTTCCTTCTGGAAGCTCTAGGGAAGGATCCTTCCTTGCCTCTTCCAGGTTCTGGTGGCCTTAGGTGTCCCATGGCATATGGCTGTATCACTCCAGTTTCAGCCTCGGTCTTCACATGGCTTTTCCCTCTGTGTCTCTCCTATTGTGTCTCTCATAGAACACTTGTCATTATATGATATGTAGGGCCCACCTGGATAATCCAAGGTGATCTCATCTTGAGATCCTTAACTTAATCACATCTGCAAAGATCCTTTTCCAAACAAGGTCACATCCACAAGTTCCAGGGATGAGGATGTGGACACATCTCTTGGGGGCCACCATTCACCCCAGTACAGCATTATTACCCTAATAGTGAGAACTCCCACAGCCCAATTGGGGAGGTATGATGTGCACCCTTATCTCATAGATGAGGAAATGGAGCTTCAGATGATTATTGAAGGAACTTACTCCAGATAGAAAGCTATGAATCCAGAGGGGTGCCAATAGGTAGAAATACGGAAGAGAAAAGAGATTGACTTCCAAATCACAAAAGAGATATCTGGGTCTATCTGTTTGATAGGACCACCTTTTCTTAGTGTCTCTGTGGGGGCACTAAGGTGAAATTTAGGCATTGTTTTCACACTTCTTTCCTAAAACAGAGGTGTGAGGTTTTGCAAATTGCATTAGCAGGGAAGCCAAATAAAACATGAGAAGGAGAAGGCTTTCATATATAGAGTTGAGCAATTTATATATTCAGGAAAGAATAAACCAAAAAGAGGGGGTGTTGATGACAGCTGAAAGCGATGTGGCAACAAAGCTGGAGGACGTGAATGTGACCTCTTTCTGTGAGGCAGCCTCGAGATGAGGGTGTTGCTGGGCCAGGCAGTGGGGGAAAGTCTGCTGGTGCAGTGGCTCATGCCAGGGAGCAAAGTGGATTGGTAGGGCTAATGGTAGCTTCCAGGAAGTTCATGGGATCTGCTGCCCTCACAGATCCCTGAGTGGAAGCCCAGTAGGCCTCTCCCCAGCTCCCCATTCAGTCTAAGGCAAGGTTTTTCTCCATGCCAGAGAATTCACACCATACCCACTGACCCCTGTGTAAGTGGCCCCTCCACCTGTGTCTTTGTCCCCCAGGTTTCCCCCTTCAATCTGTTAAATGATGTCATCGTCATTGCTCCACCTACACTGTCCTGAATCCCTTACCTGGACACTCTCGTGCAAGTGCTATCAAAGGATGTCTTGCTTCTGTATCCACTCTTTTTTACTACCCAATCTCTCTCAGAATTTTTAAGTTGTCTTCACTACCATCTCTGTGGCCTCCCCTCACAGATTCCACCAGTCCTCCTGTCCCTCCCACCCCACATCAGTGGTTCCCCAGTCCTTGGAATTGTGCCCTCTGTTCTGGGGTCACACCACCAAGGCCCCTGCCTGTCCAGCGCCGGTCTCCTAGTCCTCCATCTGAATGGTTACATCAGCCTCCTGCCTGCTCCTGTGTCCCCCACATTTCTCCTTGCTCAGGGTATCCAGAGTAACCTACCTAAAATGCACAGGGCCAGCTCTGCTGGGACTTCCCATGTTCCCCACTGATCTTCAGGTCATGGCCTAGACCTTGAACTTGTCATTCAAAGCACTTCATGGTTCCACTCCAACATAACTCTTCCTTTTCATTCCCTTCCCTGCCATCGCAACCCTGGCCCCAGAAGCCTTTCTCGACAGTCATACTCACTTTCCTGAGTGTGCCCTGCCATCTCCAGCATCCTCTCTGCTGTCCCCTCTCCTCACCTAGCTGCTCTCATTCTTTGGGCCTGGGCTACCATCACAAGAAGCCTTCCTGCCCTCCCAACCTGAGGGCCCTGACCAAATGCCTCTCCTTGAGTGTGGCCACAGCACCCCCTGCCAACTGATGTGGCGATCATGGGGCAGGACCGGGGTTAGTGGTTTGTTTCTACATCTGTGACTGCTGCCCCCATCACTCTCTGGACTGTCAGCATGTGTGGGACTTCACACATGCACTTCATCCACCGATGTGTGCCTGGCTCCTAGGCCAGGTAGGAATCAGGAGGAGTCTCAAGGATGTGGAGTGGCTAGGCCTACTCTGAAGGTGGCGATCAGGACGTCCCATCCCTGCCCTTTCTGCTGAGGCTCCGACCAGAGTGGCCTCAGACCCCACTGTGTGGAGGTCAGGGAAGGCATAGTACAAACCGCTCTGCACTGGGTGCACCAGGAAGCCTCAAGGGGCGGCACATGGCAGCTCGGAGGACCTGTCCCCACTGTGGCACTAGTGGGCTTCCAGCCTTTTCTGCCATCAAAGGGGCTCAGCTTTTGGGGACCCTCGGATTCCCATCTCTGCCCTCAGTGCAAAGGGCCAGCGTGTCTCAACGAAAGCCCACGTGCTTTGTTGCTGGGGCCTGAGTTCTTGCTCCAAGCTTTGTGTCTGATGCAGCAGAATGTTAAGGTAACGGTGTGCTTTGACTTACTTTCCTCTTCTGCTTTGGCATAAATGCCTCGTTGTCCCCCTCCTCATCTTGCTGCTTCTCACCGCCCTTCACCCAATCCCCTTCCCTGGCATTCTCCAACTTGGTGGCAACCACAACCATCTTTAGCTTTCCCTGATATGTGTGGGAGGGTGCCACCTGCCTGACTCTATCCCTAGGCTGGGTGCAGCTGGGTTCAGGGATGTGAGGGCGGGCGGTGGGGGTCCTGCCTGGGACTCAGATGCCCACTGGTAGTCATCCCTGAGGAGCAACCAGATGGCTACCCACTGGCAAAAGTCAGTACCATTCATACCAGGATGACAGCTGGGCAGTGATCAGGGGTCAGGGCACGCCTCCCATCCCCTGCTTATTGGGTGGGAAGAGCTTCCCTCAACCCCATTACCTGCCCTGCCCTGTGTGGGGGCCACTCATACCTGCCAATGACTGATGCCCACAGTTTCCCTGGGCCCCTCTGGTGTCCGCCTTGAGCCCAGAAAGCATCAGGGCAGGCAGGCATACTTTTCTAAGCAAAGAGCCTGAATGCAGCCCAGGAGGTCAGAGCAATTCATGCTTCACACTGGGGCCTACTCATTCGGTTGGTTGGTTGGTTGTAACCATGACCAGATTTTCCCCAAGCCCGGGGCTTTGATGAGATTTCTAGTCTCCCACTCATCCCAGGATAAGACAGGGACTCTTGACTCTCCCCAAGCAGCAGCAGGGGTGGGATCCAATCCGAGTCCTGCGTAATGGCCCTTGTGTCCAGCATGGTGCTGCTCAGTGGCCTGGGTGCTAGCAGAGGATGCTTTGTAGAGTCCCCAAGTCCCTCTAGGAAGTAAGTAGGGAGAAAGCCCAAATGACTAACTAGACCAGAGCAACTATTCATGGGCTGTGAGCCCTGTATGCTGGGGCAGGGACACTGCTATTCCCACTGCCTAGAGGAGTCAATCAGCCTCTCCGTGTGGGTGTTACCTGGGAAGAATGTATGCTAGCAGGAGGCTTTGGCGGCATCTCCACAGTGAGCCCCACTCAGCCATCTGCCCCTCCCTGCTTAGCATCCATCAGTTACCCATGTAGTGCCTGGCTCCCACTCTATTTCCCTTGCCCCTGGGCCAACATGTGAACCCATGGGTGACACCAAGCCCTGTCATTGGGTGCCTCTTCTGCTGAGCGGAGCTGCTCTCTGGCCCACAGCATCACATGTGGTGGCACTTGCCCTATGGGAATGGGGGGTCTGTCAGGCACCTTTGCCTCCTGTCATCATTTCTGAGGATGACGACGAGAACTCATGGGAAGGCAGCACACTCCCAGACAGCCACTCTTTGCCCAGACAGGGACATCCAGGTGGCTCAAGATGAAGGGTCTGAGTCTATTAAGGGAGTTGTGCTGTTTTAACTAATGGAGGACTTGATCAGGAGTGCTTGATCACGGTGGGAGACCGTTTGGTTCTGGGTCAGTCACTAACTCCCCTTTGCCCTTTGCAGAGGGTCTCAATGCAGACTACGTGAAGGGAGAGAACTTGGAGGCTGTTGTGTGTGAAGAACCCGAAGGTGAGGACTTCTTGGTCAGTGTACCCTGCTGAAGGTCTCCTATTTGGTGAGCCTGGCACTGAGCAGAACTGTGCTAGTGAAGCAGGAAGCAGAGAGGTGTCTGTTACTAGAATTTCCATCCAGAGTAAGAGGCTTCAAGGGCCCAGAGGTCCCTGCACTCAGCCTCTGATCAGCTGGCCACTAGGGACACTGGGACCACAGCCAGTGCCATGAGGAGGACTTCAGTGCACTGTTGGGGCTCAGGTTCTGCTCCTGACTCATTTGAGCATGAGCCCCAGACCCCTATACTCCCTGCAGTGAAAACAGATGACTCCCAGACAAATTCCGATAGAGCCAAACTTTTTAATTTTCAATTTGAAAATTGCCAAAGGCAAGAGGGAACTTGGTGAAAACATAGACCCAATTATTGGAGCACATTTTCCTCCCTCCCTCTTCCCCTCCCCCCCTCTTCCATAGTCATCAAGCCCTTTCTGGGTGCAGGAACCATCAGTGATGAAGGCTACCTAAGGTCAGGCTGCTGGCCTAGAGTGGCTAGTTCCTCAGGGCAGATACCATTTGTGGGCCCAGAATGCCAAAGGGGTGGTCAGAAAAGGCTCTGTGAAGGGGAAAACCCAGCAGTTTTCCTCAGCAAAGGCTGGGGTAGGTGCAGACAGGGAGACAGGGGAGCATGGTACATCTTGTGCCTGGACCAGACAGCAGCAGCAGTGGAGATAGGCCCCACTGGTGTGTGACGGTGGGGGCAGGGGACTCTATGACATTGCTTAGGACAGATACTTGGTGGTAATGTACTGAATGGATTAAAGGGCCATAGATTAAAACACAGGGAAACTGACTCTACAGCCCCATTTGCTATAATCATTTTTAAAATTCTTAGCCACCATTGGATAAGTACGTTCTGTAGCCCAGGTACTATGTTAAATGCTTTATTTAAAATAATCCTCCCAGCAACCCCATCAGGACCATTTCTGTGTTGCAGATGGGGAATTGGAGGCTCCTCTCCAGGGCCCAGGGTTGCCCTGGCTGGGGACAGAGTGGGCGCCAGAGCGAAGGTTGGCCAGGAGGGGCTGAGCTGCCCCAACCCCTGAACAGGAAGGACAGAGAGCCAGATCGTTATCCCCAGCAGGGGCTGACTTGTGTACTTGTGCCTTCTATGCAGGGTGGAAATGAATCCCTTCTAACAGGCATTTTCTCTTCCCAGTGAAATACTTAGAGCTGCCACGACAGTCTGCAGAGCCACCACAGCCCCAGCCGCCCAAGATCTGAGGGCCCCTCGCAGCAGCGGGCGCACAGTGGTGCTGCCACTGAGGACCAAGCTCATTTCATTTGGACTTGCAGCTGCTGTACTGCTCCTTTGATATCATTGGCTTCTTGTTCTAAGTTTTCTGTATAAGCTCTGGGTGTTTGTGAGTTTGATTTCTGTGTGCTGCCACAGGCACCCTGAAGAGACTCGGTGTTGAAATCCAGCCTTGGGAGCTGCTGGGTCACCAACTCCACAAAGCCAGCCTGTCCCAGGCCATAGTGAGCTGGGGACAGGGACCCATTGAGGGAGGGCAAGACTATGCTTATGCTTAGGAGACAAGAGATTGATCACAGGGTAGTGTGATCCCCGAGGTGCTGTATTGACTCACAGGCAGCCCTTGGTGTGACCTCAGAGAGCTGTCAGAGAGCCTAGCTAGCTAGTACCCGGTGCTTAGCGCCCTGCAAGGAAGAGAATCAGTGAACACCAGGCAACACTATGCGCATATGACACCCTGGGTGGGGGTGGGGATGGGGGGGTCATTTGGGTCCTTTCCAGTTCCAGCTTTGACGCTTCCTGCTGGGCTTCCAGAGAGCTAGTCCACATGGAGACTTTTCATTTATTTAACTGCAAAAATGCATGCCATGACAATCTGCCTTGAGAGTTCAGGAATCTTCTGGGCAAGTAGAAGCTGGTGACTCTCAGGTCTAATTCCCATCTCATTCCATAGGGGACTGGGTGTGGTCTGCAGACTGACATGGTTAGTTTTTAGGAATCATTTATGTACTAGAAATGTGTTTTATCCTGGGCTAGTGAGGTGTTCAGCTTTCACCCTGTTTGTGTTTTTATGTTCGTAGCAAAAGCTACAGGCATTATGAATGAGCATCAAAGCCAGAGCATGCCACTGTTTGCTTAGAAATATATTTGAGGGAGATAGGAGGGGAGGGGAGGGGAGGGGAGGAGAGGGGAAGCCTATTTGCTTGGTTTAGTGACATACACCTGACTTAGTAAGTTTGTAGTTACTCTGTCTGGCCTGTTGATGAGGAATGAACACTGGGCGCCTGTCACTATGGTAAACACCAGAACCGTGGCACTGGCCCCTCACCTGGCCTGGTGCTGTCTGGTTTGGGCTGGAGCAAAGCTGGCTTCCTGTTTGGCCCACATGTGGTCCTGTCCCTGTGAGTTCTGCTGTCAGAGGCTGACTTAGAGTCTAAAGCCACGGTCTACTGATAATCATTTCGCAGTGTCAGAAATCAGTTCGGAAAGCATAATGTAGGCGAGCAAGAAGGACACAAGTTCGTGTGCCTCTGCCCTACAAGGGAGGCCTCACAAACTCCACAGGATATGTGTTAGCTCCCTGTCTACTGTGCTGGGATGAGACAACTCCAAGCAGTTAAGGAAACCGTCCAAGTGTGAACAGACCCCTTAGGTTATCTAATGCATGCCTTGTGTGTTCATTTTAGTGCTTGCTTTAAAAACATATTTGTGGGATGGTAATCAATTGCAGTGCGTGGTTCAATGTTGCCCTTTGGACCTATCCCCAGTGCAGACCTTCAGGTCCTAAAACGTCTTCTCCTATATGGGGGTACATCACAGGCCAGGAGTGTGTGTCTGTGAGGGGGCAGGGAGCACTGAGGGTACACTTCTGCATGGTACTGTGGAGGAAGAAAAATGTGGCCTCCTCATGCTTTAGGAGTTTGAGGAGGGGAGGCATTGCTTGTAAGGTGTGCCTGTTTCCAGCACCTCCCAGACCTCAGTAGCTAGACTGTTGTCACTTTTGCTGGGCTTGTCCCTCCCAAGGATGGCAAGAACCGATGGCCTCCTCCCCTGACTAGTGCTGGGCAGGAGGTAGCTATGAAGGATTTTCGCATCCGTGACTTGTTGCCACGTAGACAGGATGACCTCAGGATTCAGGGAAAGCAGGAGTTGGAGGGATCACATTAGGATGGCTGAGTACCAAGACCCCTGAGGCATTTTAAAGGATAAAAAAGAGGGGCAGCACTTGCATGTGGTAAAATATTTCTCCTCCCTGCCACTAGGAAGTGAAGACATTTATAGAGAGGTCTGTCACAACAGTGAGTAGTATGAGGAGTGATATGGCCTGTGTGTCTCCTGGTATGGCCAGGCATGGCACTCATACTAGGTGGTTGAGCTTCTCACTGGAAGGCCGGAAGCCACGTGCCTGCCCCCAGTTGTTCCCTTTAGCTTTAACCTGAGGCTTGTGATGGCAAAGAGCCTACAGTCCTCCAGCTGTGATGAGTCATCAACACATTCTCAACAGCAGTGACTTCAGTTGGCAGACCGATTTTGTTCCCCCTTAGCTATGTGGGTACCTTCTGCAGAATGCCCACAGCCCAGTACCCAGACCTGCTCCTAGTGACTGGCCATGCCTGAAAGGTCACTGAGCCACCCATTTGCAGACCTTTCATCCTGAAGCAGTTGGGGGTGGGGGAAAACTAACACCTGCAGAAGCCTACGGGGCTCTTGTAACTGCGTGGTTATCTTAAAGTTGCATTGGCCAGCATGGGCCTGTCCCAGGTGATAGGGGAGATAAAGTGGGTTAATTAGGAGGGTCAATTGAAAATAGCCAGTCTGTATCAGCTTAAGGTGGTGGCGGGGGCACAGTGTTACCAATAACTGAGCACATGGAAGGAGAAGACATGGCACCTTCGTGGTGTGAGGTACCCTCCCGGGGCAGACCCATAGAACAGTACCAGGCCCATTGTCTTGGCAACTTGGGGGTTAGTACCAGTTCTCTACAAAGAAGAAGTAGAGACTGCTCTCAGAGTCCCCAGTACTTTTTATGTGCTTGTATTTAAGTGTGAATTGTTATCTGTCTCGTCTTTGCATTAAACAAAATGGAACATAACAGATGACTGCATTGTGATGGCGTTTAAGGCACTGCCTTTGTCAAGTGATGCTGTTTGTTTCTTAATTTATGATATTGAGCAGACCCTCTTCTATATCCTCCCCAGCCAAACGCACTTGTCTAGAAGGCGTGAGGTAGCTTAGGGCCTCCAGGGGGCAGCCCCCCTCGGGGTACAAGGAGCCAAGGCCTGGAGATGTGGAGCGGAGTGGCCTGCCTGATGCCGGGGAGGTGGGAGGACAGAGGCAGGGCCCAGACTCCACTCCCAAGCCCATTGCTCTGCCTTCTTCAAAGAAAGGCAGTGTCGAGGGAGGATGCAAGGTCTGTGCGCTGATTTCAGCCACAGAGCTGAGCAGGGAGGGGGGCCCCTACGCAGCTGTGTGGGGAATGGCCTGTTTGGGATAAAGTGTGCTCATGTCATAACCTCACAGCTGGGCTTAAAAACTGAAAAGACGGATATTTCAGCATGACCAAGATGTGATAGATACTACAAGGGTTTTCGCATTGAGGTAGGCGGCATTTTTGTTCTCGTAGTAAAATAACATAAAGTCTTCAAACCCAAACCCACGAAGTGATTTCAGTGCAGAGGTTCTGCATGGCCAGCTGAGGCCTGGCACAGCAGCCCTCCCAGCCTGGCTACTGGGATATCACTGCTGGGGACTACAGCTACAGTGACTGCTCCATGAAGAGAGACAGGGACCCCAGGCCCTTTTAGGAAGGGTGACCTGCAGGGGTCTCTGTGGTATCATCCAAGCCCTTATAGCCCTGCAGAAGGCCAGCATTTCTTCCACAGACTTGGGCTGGGAACCTTGTGGCTTCTCAGAAGTCTGCCAGGTTTTAGACTCTAGGACTCAGGGTCTGGAAAGACAGCCCTGCCTCCTCAGAGCCACACCTGACTTTCAGGTGTCTCCAGTTCTTTCCCGTGTCCTTAACATTTTCTCAAGGTACTTTACCCATTCCAGCCAAAACACTGAAGACTTACGAGAAAATGCATTTACAATTTAGTAAATGAATCAAATCATGTAAAGGCACTTTACATATATTGTATTTGGCACATAATAAAGTAACATGAATGTTTACTATTACTAATTTTCCCCAAGGGAAAAAGTCTAACAAAATACTTAAGAAGCCACAGAGCAAACATATTATCATTTTAATTACCGATTGAAATATAGTGCATCAGATGACGCAAATAAGATACTGTACCAGTTTTTAAAAATCTGAACCGTAAAGTTTTACATTCTAGTACACCTAAATAAGACCGAAAAAAGAAAGAATTGTTTAGGTAACAAAACTATGTTTCAAATTGTTTTAGAAATAGTTTTCTCTTATGAACATATAAAGGAAAATGATCTGTATTGTTGCTTTTAAATCGAATGGGAGTTTCTAGGGCTCCTGGGGCCCAGCATACAGAGGCCTGTGGGACAGCCCAGTCCAGGCCCCCACCCTGCCCCAGCACCAAACTAGCCAACTGGGGCGAGAATAAGCGCACTCTGCTTCTCTGGTTCTGGCACAAGCTTCATCTAGTCCCCACCAAGTTTAATAGTCTTAGTGCAGCTAGGGGATTAAAGGATATTTCTAGGGGGAAAAAACTGGCAAATGTCTGCATTTACAAATCAATGAATAATCCGGTTTATCCATTCATAAATAAGCTTTCAGCTATGTTGGGAGCATAAGTCAAAAACTAGTATCAATTGAACTATGATTTAGAAACTAATCCCCAGCTGATAGAAATGGAGAATTCATTATAGGTGATCAAATTACTTTGAAGAAGTACTTCAGATAACCTTACAGATACCAGACAATTTTCTGTAAGAGTCAGAAAGTTCCAAGTTGACAAAACATCTATTCTCTAACTATTTGACTGTAAAAAATCTTTTTCAAGAATCTATTTTCAAAAATAAGGTCAGTATGTAAGACTTGGCATAGCATCCAGTAATTTGAAACAGACTAGATATTCCAATGCAGTTGTACTCAGGTCTGACCCTATGAGCTTCTGAGGCCCCCGACTTGACAGGCAAGTTTAATTCCTGCAGCGAAGGGGGTCCCCATGACTGGCAGAGCCGGGGGAGGGTGTGGCCTGCTGGTGCAGAGGCAAATGTGCGAGATTCTGTGCCACGCCACACAGAGGAGCTCAGAGCTTCAGCACTAGTGGATGGATCAGTTGACTGTAAATTAGTTCCTGCCCATACTGATAAGAGGCCTAGAGCCCAAAGTCAGTGAGTGAAAGTGCGAAACTGGGAGGGGAGACCAGGTTGGAGAAGGTTGGCTCTAAGAGGAGAAAACCAAGGGAAGCCGGTGCTACGCTTTTGGCAACTGAAGCCACAGCACAGTGGTTGCTTCAAAATACTGACATGAAGTCATATGGGTAAACTGAGTTAAAGGGATATTCAGACAGGCAGATTATAGGTGAGAGCAGACTCACTTTGACAATAATGACCAGCAGCAAAGAAGCAGGAAGCTGCAGGGTCAGACAGGTCAGGAGCTGTGAACAGGCAGCTCCTTAAAGGAGCCCACGGGAAAGCCAGCACCTGCACAGAGCGGCCAGAGTCCTCAGTTTCCCCTCTGCAAAGCCATCCCGAGGGAAACTGCTGCTATTGTCATCAATGGTCTAGGCCACCTCAGGAAGCAAGTACCAGAATTAAGGTGAGGGAGGACAGAACACAATGCCATTTAAATGACCATATTCAAATTGCATTTCAAATGTACCACATAAAAGTTAGCATGAGCTTTGTTTGAAAATAATTTCTTACACAGTCCGGTTAGGAGGTACCTCCCAGGGTGACTAGTCTAAACATTAAAAAAAGAGACATAGGAAAATAAATGCATATTTCTGTTTTTAAAAAATACCATATATGTACACAACAGTAATTGGTACAGGGGTCCCCTTGCAAGAAAACTCTGGAACAGAGGGCAAATGGTCTGTCTTTCCCCGCAAGCAGTTAATTTTAAAACAGTTTTCAAGTTGTAGCAAGGAGCTAAAAGAAGCCCCGTGGCTGGCAACATGGTCTGTAAGTGAACGGCGTTTGTTTTAATGAAGGAAAGAAATGGTATGAGACCTTCTTGATCCTAAGCACTGTGTTCCATTCACTATGGCTTCTCTCAAGCTGCCTGAGCAATAGAAAGGTGGGTCACATGGTCAGTGGGACAGACGGCCACCCTGAGAAACCAAAAAGGAGAGAAATGGGGTGTTCAGAAAACAAAAAGTACAGACGACAGTGGGAGCTGTCAGCTAGCCACACACATCCAGATGTGGAAGGCACCAGGCCTAATCCTAAAAGACAAGATCACAAGTTACAGCCAGAACAGGTTGCAGGACCCTCGCCTGAGTCACCGGGGAGACCAGCAGAGCCCAGGATGGCCTTGATGGCTGGACTCACCGGAACTGCCACCCCTGGAGCCCATCAGACTGAGGTATGGACAGGCGTGACTGAGTGGGAAGGTGAGGAGCCCCGCTCAGATGGGGACGAGGCTCGAGTGGCCACCTCCCGCTGCAGGTCCTCCACCCTCTTCTGCAGCTCCGCCCTGACGGCCAGCAATTCCTTGAGATTTTGGTGAATCGGCATCTGGGGACAAGCAGGACACAGCTGGGTTAGTGGGCCACTCTGGGGCACTGTTTCTAACATAGCCTTTCAGCATGCGGGTGCTAAATGCAGGCTGAGTTCACAACCAATATGCCGTGTGTCCTAAGTCTCCAAGCCAAGCTACAGGGCCCCCCACCCAGGAACTGGGGCCTTCAGCTGGCCCTGTGGGGACGCTTTTGTCACTTGTGCTCTTCTGCCAGCTTGTCCAGATTCTGAGAGAACACAAGAGGCCTCAGGCGAAACCTCAACCTGTGCATTAGGCAAAGCCACAGGCACCAACTAGGAAAGGGACAGTCAGTCTTCCTCAGACTGGTGGGAAAATGCAACTGGCTTCAGAGCTGCCCCAGGGCAGTGTTTACATGTGTGCCTCCTGCACGCACACATACTGCCGTTACTTCTGAAGTTTTGCAACTTTAAAATAGCTCTACTGGCTACACATACTTCTGTTAAATCAGCACTTCCTACAAATTGAAGTTACATTCATTTTCTTCACTTGGAGCAGGAGCTGGCAGAAGCCCCTGGAGAAAGCAGTGCCAGCAGAGGGAAGTCCCTTGGAGACACTGGCTCCTCCTTCCTTTCCTCCCTCCATGCAACAAGGGACAACCACTTAACATCCTCCAATGGCTTCCTCCTTCCACCAGCCTGACCTTGGCCTCAAGACCCTGTGTGGTCAGACCCTAGCCTTCCTGTCCTTCTCACCTCTCACCAGGTCCTACCTATACTCCCCTCTGGCATTCCAGAATCTTCTAGGATTTGGAAGAACCCATCCAAGTACTTTCCCTTCTACTTTTTCACACACATGCTTGCTTTATACCACAGGGACCAGCGCAAATGGCACGTGCTCTGGGTGGAAGGCCTTTGGACTCTCCACTCCCACCAAGCCTGTTTGTTTCATCATTTACCTCCACCAAAGACTGAACTGTCCCATCAGGGATGCCAGTGATGATCAGCCTGACTGGAGGGAAGAGGAGAGGAGGAAGACAGAGATAAGAGGGACAGAGATGAGAGAAGGGGGAAACAGATGAGAGGGAGGGACAGGAATACGAAAGTGGGAGAGAAGGACAGAGACAAAGGGGTGACAGAGAGGAGAGGGAAAGAGAAGGGTGGAGATTTGCGTGAGCAAGCCAGAGACAAGAGAGGAAGGGAGAGCACGAGAGAGGGGGGATGAAAAAGAGGGCAGCCAGGTGCCCCCACCATAGCAGGGTGGCTCAGTGACCAGGCCTGAAGAGGCCAAGAATAAACTCCTGACTTCGGCAGGTCAGAGGAAGAAGGGATAGGACAGAAATGTGGGAATCTGACAGCAAAGGATCCCCAGGTAAGAGAAAGTTAGGGATCAGCTCCAAACCAGGTGCTGATCCCTAAGCCACTGTGAGATAGATAACAGCACCCCTCTTGGCCTTAGGACCTATTTGAC